TGACCAGAATGTTCTGGGCACTCCAGGGCCCTGGAGGGCACAGCTGGAGTCAGCTGCTCCTTCTGTCCTTCTGTCCTGGGTCCCAGAGAGCACAGCTGGAGTCAGCTGCTCCTCCTGTCCTTCTGTCCTCCTGTCCTGGGTCCCAGGGAGCACAGCTGGAGTCAGCTGCTCCTTCTGTCCTCCTGTCCTTCTGTCCTCCTGTCCATCTGTCCTGGGTCCCAGGGAGCACAGCTGGAGTCAGCTGCTCCTCCTGCCCTGCCCAAGCCCCAGCTCCTGGAGCTGTGGATGAGCCTGGAGCCATTCTGCCAGCCAGCTCTCAGCAGAACCTTTTAACGAAAATTGCTGTCTCCTCCTTGCCATCTGTGGAATTCAAGAGATTTATTTGAGCTCAGGAGCTGTCTGGAGCTGGTGAACTTTTGATGGTGGACATAATGAAAAACATCCCTGAGCCTTTTCTTCTGGAAAGAGGGAGATGTCCTCCCGAAGTTCTAGAATGTCCAAGTCTTATTTCTTCATAGCTGCTGGAACAAATAATTCCGAGGTTGTTACTCTGCAAAATAATTCATAGATTCCAAATACTGATATTTATAGCTGAAGCAGAACTCCTAAAATCTCATGGTTCTAATGGGAATGTTGGCAGGTCCTTTATTATGTCACAGCTAGCAGTGGTGTTAAAAGTTCTGGAATCAAACTATCAATGCATGATAAATGGGGGTGAGCTGCTTGTGTCACACCACTTATTAAGTTGGTACCATAAATTATTGCACTGTAAAAATCAATGTTTACTTCAGACTTCCCTCCCATATTTTCATTGCTATTTTCTAGAATTCATTTAAAAACTACAAGAAATGAGAAAAGAAAAAAAAAAAAGAAACCCAAAACCACGTGAATCAGGAAAATTAATTTTCTTCAGGCTGAATTGTTCTTTATTGCCTAAACAAAGCAATAGTGGAGGGTGTTGCAATTATTAAAACTAGCTAGATAAGAAAGGATGAATTGGAGATGGATCAGACCATGGAGTCAGATATTGACCAAAAATTCCAAGAGTTGAATTAAGAAAAGTATAATATTTTTAAATTTTACTCTTTTTTTTGCAAATGCATCACTATTAATCAACAAATTCAAACTTTTTATTCCCAGATGAGACCTCCAGGAACTCAGTCAGTGTAGCATGAGCTCACCTTTAATGTCAGGCGATGTTCTGATGTTAAATCTCCAGAATTTTGCACAAGGAGGAGCATCCACTGCTGGGGCAGGACAGCTCTCACCCCCCTGCTCTGAGGGCATCCTGAGAGCTGCCAAAATCCACCTGGATGGACAAAGTGAGGAAAATCCTTCATTCATCTGTCCTGAGCTGGGATGTGCGGCCCTTCCATCCCTCCCTGAAGGACTCTCCCCACATTTAGGATCCCTGTCGTTTCAGGGATGCTGCACAGCTCTTAAACCCTGCTGGGGAAAACCCAGGAGCAGCAAATTCCAGAGGGATTTGTGTGGGAGGAAATCCTGTGGCCCTGTTTGCCCTGCACAGCCAAAGGTGAGCTCGGGATCACACCTTGCCCATGGCTGCACAAGCGGCACACGCTTTTAGGAGCAGCCTGCCAGGTCCCCTGAGCAGGAAACAGCAAGAAAAACACATTTTCTAGGTTTTTACACCCAAAGAGTAGAGCTTTTTGGAAAAAAAAAAAAATTAAAAAATTGTCCCTGGTGTTTCTGCCAGTTTGGTTTCAGCTTTGACTTGGCAGGAGCTGCACGCCAGCAGCCGTTCCCCACTTGGTTCTGATAGACTCTGTCTCCCAAAATCCGAGTTTTTGGGGATTCCTCTCCTCAAGCTCAGCACCCAACCACTTCTAGAGCCTTCCTGCACTTCCCAAAGCTGAGGGCAGCATTTCTCAAGTGCCACCTACATTGTACAGGCTGGCAAAAATCTCCTTTCCTCCAGGCCAAGCACAGCCCCGGGATTTATTGCTAATAAGTCAGAGATTTCGCAAACAACAGCATCAAAAAGCACATTAGCTCTACCTCTGAGTGAGCACATCCCGTCTCCAGTGAGGTTTTATGACAGATGATTCAAAGGGGAGAAATTAGGAGGCCTCAGAGGCTTTTATGGCTTTTCTTGCCTCATCTGTATTTGGGGAGCATGGCAGGCGGGCTCGGTGCGTTTGGCTTTCCTCGTGCTCCTCGTGCCATGAATAATGGGCAGGAACAGCCAGGTGCCAATGAGAGCTGCCTGGAGAAACGTGAGAGGGACAATTTCCCACCTCAGCCAGCACAGGGAGAGGTCCCCAGGCAGAGCAGGAGGCACCAGAGTGCAGAATAAGGCAGGGACGTGGGGGATTTGGGATTCCAGCAGGACACTGCCTTGCTTTCCTTGATGGCCACCCACCCTCTGGGACTGTGGGATTGCCCTGCTTTAAAATAAAGAAATAAATACATTGAATTTTGCAAGATAAAAGTTTAAATATTGAACTTCACCTGCCTTTAAAAGAAGGGACTGAGGAGGAAGGTATGGCTGCCTATGGTTTAACAACTTCAGCAGGGATTCTGTGC